ATACAGTTTTTTAAATTAGTTAATTGGGTAGAAAAATTACATGTTATAATTTTTAGAAAAAAAAATTGATATATCTAACCAAAAATTCTGACAATAGATTAGGATCTAAAGAGAACATTAAAACAAGTTACCATTGATTGCAAATTACTTTTATTCAGATTGGGTTAACTGTCTTCATTCCATGACAATCTTTCCATGATATAGATCAATAAGGTGTTCAGAATGGGAGTAACTATCTGGAAGGAAGTGGTGTTATTGAAACCCTACAGCTGGAAAATATGAGAATTAGAAACTTAATTCATTAATACTGGATTACATAATTATTCAGTGATGAAAGCCTGCTACGTGGAACTGACACTGCAGTTTTCTTTTTGGAAAATAATATTTGAATTGTAATGGGGTTCCACTTGGTATTTAGAAAAAATGCAATTCACTAAGAACGCACTTAAGGTTTAGAAAGAGACCTAACGTCTGTAGCTTATTGGTTTGGTACTTCTGATGTCGATTTGGGGAGAGGTTTGAAATTAGGATGTAAAGTCAGAACAGCATGACTTCAGCTAATGTAATGTTTGCCCTTGACCCCTTCTCCACAACCTGCCAGTAATGATAGGCCTTTGACAAGTGTAATTGCCTAATGCCCATTTTATTTACAGTTTTCATAGCTAATGAATTATAAGAAAAATGTCCACCAGGACCTGATTGTTTACCTCTCTAATAGCCATTTACAGATGGTGCATGTTGTGGCTGCTATCATGTACTATAATAGCATTTGATGTAAGTGTCTGCTCACCATTCTGTATTGTGGTTGGAGCTGGAGAAATAGAAAATTGGTCATTTCCCGGCAGATAGCAGTAAGTTTCAATTCAGTCAGAATGCTGTATGTACTGTGATAGGTTTATAATTATTACCCAAAGATGGATGGTTTTTTGGTGAGTGTAAATTTCTGCAGCAGTAATCCATTAAGAAATCAATAATCATTCCATTCTGATGTGTAGTTCCTATTCACTGTTATAAATGTGTACTCGGAGCTGAAACCAGTGCCTTTTTTTTTTTTTTTCAATTGTAGTTGACACTATTGGAAATGAGGGGATTATTATAACATTTCTTTCTTCAATCCGATTCCTTTTTCTTTGCCTGTGTTCCCTTGCACCATATGGCATACCTAATGAAAGACTGCATATTTTCATACTATTTGAAATTTTTATTTAGACTACCTTTAATGTTTTTGTGTCCTTTTCTCCATCTTTTACTTAGTTGTTTAATAATAACTTAATTATAAGTTTTAAGGACCTCAGCGTTTCTTTAGGCAACATGTAGGTGATTTATTACCAAACATCTGTGACCAGGAAAGTGTGGTAGTTTCTTCCCTTTAAAATAAAATTATAACCACAAAGCTATAGTCTTCTCATAAAGAGCAAATCTAACATTCATTTCTCACTCATACTTGTTATCTAGTGTGTTATGTGCTGTTGGGGGAAGCAAGGATTAAAAAAATCAGCATTGACCCTGCTCTCAAACCAGCCTATATTTTAGAGAAAGAGAGGCCCAAATCAGCACAAATAACATAAGGATGTGAAGAAAGAAGAAAAGTGGTGGGGGAAATGTCAGCTCTGAAACCATCCATTACGTAAGTTCCGAACTGGAACTTTGGTGTTATGGTATGATAGTGCTAGGGACGAGGGGTGTGGGTAGTGAGCCTCATCCCACAGGGGATGTGGCCAGTGTTACAAAATTCTGCCATGGTCTGAGGCTGCAGAGTAGTCTAAATAAAGATTCTAAATAAAAGTGGCAGAGGGGCAGTGTAGAAAGTTAAACAATAGAGAAAGATAAAAAGTGAAACGTAAAAGCCCCACTGCCCAGAAATCCCAATCATCTGATTCTCATGTTACTGATTTCTTAATTATCCTGCCATAATTTTTGTATATTCTAGTGTGTTCAGGATAGTGCTAGTTCAGCTAGAATATAAACTACCATGTCTATTTTTGTTTTCCTTTTCTTTTAATACCAATAGGATTTGTTGTTGTGTTTAGTCGCTAAGTCATGTCTGACTGTTTTGTGTCTCCATGGACTGTAACCTGCCAGGCTTCTCTGTCCATGGAATTTCCCAGGCAAGAATACTGGAGTGGGTTACCACTTCTTTTTCTCCAGGGGATCCTCCCAGCCCAGGGATTGAACCCGTGTCTCCTGCATGGCAGACAGATTCTTTACTGCTGAGCCACCGGGGAAGCCCACCAGTAGGATTACACTGTTGTATCTAAGGTTATTTGATGTATTTCAATGATGGTTACTTAAACATTATTTTGTATGTTTGTTAGAATGCCTGTGTTTAATTTCTGTCCATGAAGAGCATTTCTGCTTCAGCATCCAGGAGAAATTATAATTAAAATCTCTCTTAAGAACTAGTAGAAAGAATTAAGAAGATTTTACTTGGGGTCCATGTTTCAAGGCAGATTTAATGGGAAGATACAGATTGTTTGATGTTAAAAACTTCCAAAAGTTAAATGTGACAGAAAATGTAGCTTTTATTCCTGTTTCTGCTTTTATTTCACTGGTTCATCTTGGTAAATCACGTAAGAAACTCTCAAGGTATTTAGTACAGCTCTTCAATAAAGTTCAGAGGTTTACAGAATCTTAATTGTTAAACCATGAAACCTGGCTATCCATGTAGCATAGTTCTTTTAGGAGAAAAGATCGTGTATCTCAAAGATAGAGGTAGCAAGCAGAGAACACAGAAAGAAAAAGAAGGTGTTACTTAAAAATTGATTAATTACATCAGGGGTGCTAGCTAGTTTTTGAATAGGGAGGGATGTTTTATATAGGGTTATTTAACGAGCTAAGGAGCTGCCTACATGGGACCTGAATTCTCCTTCTGTTTCAAGACTGATGGAGATCTCTGAGTCGGTTGGCTCGTAAGCAAGTTTAATTGTCTAGAAAAAGCTCACAGGTTAGGCCTCCCCTGAAGAAGGCTGAAGTCCAGGACTCTTTTTGTTCATTTGCTTTCTGGTACGCTTTTTCAGGAAACAACAGGTTTCTCTCAGGTGAGAACCTGAAACATGCTTGAAAGCAGAGAAAAGTTCATTTCATGATATTTGTGTTTTATATGAGCAATTATATATCCAAGTGTGTTGTCATTTTGTAGCTCCCAGTCTGTCCCAAGAACTATATTGATGGCAACCTGTTAAAGAGTGTGCTAGAGGTCACCAAGGACCTGGGCTTGTTCTTTGATTCAGAGAACATCCTGACATGGAATAAATTTGAACCATTTTCCTTTTCTTCTGCAGAATGGTGGTTTGAGGATGTGGCTGATCCAGTCTCTGCTTTTTGCCTATAAAATCACATTTAAAAATATCAGGCTTCTAAGTTCTGCTCTGGGTCTGCAAGTGTGTGTGTGTGTGTGTGTGTGTGTGTTTACACCCATGTCTTTTATCTCACCACTGAAATAACCTTGGTGCATCAAACACTTTACTTGGAAGTGACCCCAGAGGTCATTTAGAACAACTTCCTAAACAAAGCAAGAATATTCTTGGCAGCATGCATGACAGGTGGTCTCTGGGATTTTGCTTGACCACTTCTCTGCGAGAAAAGTTGTGGTATTGTTGGTCAGCTCTGATTCTTAGAAAGTCCTTTTTTATATTGAGCCCTCATCTGCCTCTCTGGAATGTCATTGCCTTTTACAAAGACACAAGCTAAACATCTCAGGGGAATTTTAGATGTTTTGTTCTGTGTTAGTGCTTGTAATCCTAGGGTTTCATTGTGGGTTTTTAGAGTTTTGAATTGGCCCCGTGTTTAAAAGACTGTCATAATTTATTCTGAGGAATAATGCCATAGTTAGCATATATAGCCTGTCTTTTTCCATCTCTGCCCAAGTAAACCATTTAAGTTTGGTTTGCCCAAGTAAACCATTTAAGTTTGGTTAAGCAACAAAAAATAAAATAAAATCCTTGACTTTATTTTCAGTAAGTTACATCTTAATAAAATCAAAAGTAAGTTGTTTTACCCTTAAATCACTTGTAAGTCTTTCGACAGTTCAGATTAAGACAATATGTTGCCTGAAAACTGAGCATGTTTTAAAGATAGAAATTCACTGATTATGTTTCCATTTCAAATGGAATGCAAAATTTTGACTTTTTAGCATTACTATTTCCCATAAAACTTGTTGCTCTAAGACTTAAAAGGGAAGGGCATATAGAAAGATGTTGCAAAACTCATGTAAAAAAAGGGGGCATCATCTTTCAGACACTCATTTAATTTAATATATGGAAACCTAACCAAAGCTTTCCAGCTGAAATTTCTTGTGAAAGATTCCTAGGTGAAAAAGATAAGATGAAACTTCCTGACAGGGGTTGTAGGCACCCACAGTTGTTCCTCCCAGGGTATTAGCAATATTTAAATTGGCTTATGACTTCGTATTTCTTCCCTGCCTGAGTGGCAGTTTCACTATGCCTTTATTGGATTTACTATTGTAATTGGATATGGAATTGTGCCAGGAAGCATATATTTCAATATGTGCACCTTAGCAGTCTCAATTGTTAGGATGGTGGCTCACTCACATTTAATAGGGAAATTAGCTGGCTTTGTCTGTGTGTGAGCGTTTGGGGAGAAGCTGACCCTAACTTCAGAGCTGTACTTATGGGGGAAGTAAAGCTAGATATACTAGCCCTGGGAATTTCTCTTGATTAGTCAGGCGAGGGTTTGCTTTATTTTGAAGAATTATCTAATTGGGGGATTCCCTAGCTGAGAAGTGATTGGATATATGTTCAGGAAATGTGTTAGCCCATTTAATGATGCCACTGCAGGTTTGTTAAGGGTGCTTCAGCAAGTTCATATAGTACCGTTGGGTCTGCTGTCATGGCAAGGAGCATCATGAAATTCTCAGGAAAGGATAATCCTTTTACCCAAGTTATTTTAAAAATAGTTATGTCATACAGCCCTGTCTCCCCAACTTGTTTGATCACAAGACTTATCTGGAATGCTTATAAAACTAGAGGCCCACACCTCACTCCAGGTGAACTGAATCAGCATCAGCAAGGAAGAAACCTGTGAGTCTGTGATTCTGATATCAGGCAAGTTTAGGAAACACTATCAAATGTAGGAAACTGGAAAGGACTGCTTTGGAAAAAAAAGGCAGTGATTGCTCCAAGGAGCTGGAGGATTACAGGACATTACTATCAAACACTAAAATGTCTCTTATTTTTCCTGTGATGATACAGGAAGAATATGCCAGACTGTGTCCCTAGAGTTTTCAGGGACGGGGGAAAGGAAAGGTGGAGCTTGTTCTTTTCAAGAAAAAGCTAAAAATGTAAAAATGTATTCCATTGTTTTATTGCAGCAGGCAAAAGATCTTTACTCTTTTTCTCTCATTTCTGTTTTGTTTTTCTTTTCTCTGTCTTCCTTTGGTCACTTTTCTTGGCCTTCAGGGTTACTTTGTTTGGGATGTTTAACAAAACCACGTGCAACATTTTCACACAGCGTTTTCCAAGATGGAATATTTTCTCTCTCTACTTCTCTGTCAGTTGTATTCCTTCAGCCTGTTTACAAAAGCCAGACACATGTTCCTGTTTCAGCTTGGGCGCTTGTTCATCTGTTGACACTTCAGCACTGAAATAATCAGTTTAGATTTCAACAGCTGATTAGTACTCAGTTCTAACCAAACTGAGAGGGAACTCTTAAGAATGGTAACCGATATTGTGCTACTTAGTGGTCTATACAAAAACATAATAATGATCATTTTATAGCAATGCTGTGATTATAAAAGGCCACTGCCACTGCTTATTTATTGTACCTCAGACTAACTGACCAGTCTGCTAAAAGCAGCTCTTTCAAGAATAGGCGCAAAAATTTCATTAAAGTCCTTTCACTTACAACAGCTCTGAATGTTAGAAAAAAAATATTGGAATATCCTATGTGATCTGCTAAAGAGCTTCACAGAGATTCCAGCTTCCACACTGAATTACTACTGAATGTAAGAAATATATGTAATGATACAGTTTGGCACCCAAGTACTGATTTGCCTAAGATAAGATGCCATATCCCCATGACTTGCAGCCAAAAGGAAAGAGGTGAGGCCTGCTTTAAATGCACTTGTGCAAATACTTACCTACTTGACCTTACACTTCTCTAATAGTCTGTAGAAATAGGCTAGAAATAGAATCAGAGAACATAAGAGAATCGATAGAAATAATAATAAAGATAGAATCACAGAGCATGAAACTGATTTATTGCTTTTCCTCTAAAAAGAATGAAACTTAACAGGTAGAAATAATAAATATATAAAAAATTAGATGTCAGTTGAGTATTTTAGATGTGAATTAGAGGCAGTCAACATCAGTTTCCCAAATATATCCATGCAATTAAGGCAGAGGATCCACTTATTTTTTCGGGGAGGAATTGGAGGTCATCTGCCTTCTAGTTAGAGTCATAGAATCAATCATTTTCTTTCAGTAGCCTTGTCATCTTGTTTCTTTCTTTAGTACAAATCTGTTTCATCCTTCTCCTTGCTTAAAACATTCATGACACCCTTTGCCTATGGGGAGTTATAAAGAACTATATTCCCTCCAAAGTGTTAAAGTGTTAGTTGCTTAGTGGTGTCTGACTCTTTGTGACCCCATGGACTGTCGCCCACCAGGCTCCGCTGTTCATGGAATTCTGCAGGCCAGAATACTGGAGTGGATAACCATTCTCTTCTCCAAGACCTCTTCCCAAACCAGGAATCGAACCCAAGTCTTCTGAATTGCGGGCAGATTCTTTACCATCTGAGGTATCAGGCAAGCCCCATTTTACCTCTAAAGGACTAATCAGCTCTGTATTATTTTATACTGGAGTGGGTTGCCATTTCCTTTTCCAAAGGATCTTCCTGACCCAGGAATCAAACCTGGGTCTCCTGCATTGCAGGCAGATTCTTTACCTACTGTGCTATGGGGGAAGCTCATTTTATACTATACCCTTTATTAAATAACACAATTTATTAATCTTCTGAAGTTCCCTTCCACATACACCATGATTCAGCCGCAGACACTTGCCATGTCTCTCTGGAACATAACAGTTTCTTTCAAATTTTCTTATCTTTGCATAAGCCTTTCCCTTTTCCTGGAATTTCTGTCCCTTTTCTTTGACTCCCAAGAAACTTCCAGTCCTTAAAGAGCAAACTTTACTGCTTGTTTAAAGCTCTAGTTGTTCCCCAGTAATCCTGTAGCATTGAGTGTGTGCATATTTCTATTATAGAATCTACTGCATTCTACTGTTACTGTTTTATGCCTGTCTTCCATATTAGCCTTTTAGCCCATATTGCATAGACTGTGTCTTGTTCATCTCCTCTGAACCTGTGATCATGCAACTGCACCAGGTACAGATTAGGTGCATCCCTCTCCAATGTTTTATGATCAGAAGACTAAGGGAGAATGGATGGGTTTCCATAAAGTAGATGGTAGTGGAGCTGCATTTGAGGAAAGACAGATGGAGTCCCCTTTGGTTGGGGGTGAAGATCAAGTAGGAAGGCCAGTTTTGGTCTTATTTCACCTGCCCTGATGTGAACAGGATGCAGTAGGAATCTATAAAGGATGGTGACATCTGAACCTAGATCTGTGGGGATAATTTTGCCCTCAGCACTCAAGCCTCTTTAGGCTTCACTTCCTGCTTATTCTTGTAGTTTGGCGCTATAAGTAGGAATATGAAGTATGCAGTGTGGATATGAAGGACTTCTCAGGTGGCTCTCGTGGTGAAGAACCACCTGCTAATGCAGGAAGCCTAAGATACATGGGTTTGATCCCTGGGTCTGGTAGCTCTCCTGGAGAACGGAATGGCAACCCACTCCAATATTCTTGCCTGGAAAATCCCATGGACAGAGGAGCCTGATGGGCTACATAGTCCATAGGATGGCAAAGAGTCGGGTATGGCTGAATGACTGAGCACAGTATGGATACACATCTGTAGCTGGGCCTCACAGTAGGCTAGAGTATTAATAAGCAAAATTCCTATGGACTTCCTGCTATGTGTCATCTGTAACAGAATAATAACAGTGGTACACCCTTTATTCTTCATCCTTCTCATATTTCTTCTCTCCCACACTTGCATCTGTCCTGTTTGTGCTGGCTCATGGTTTTAGACTTCTAATGAAACTTCCTCTGGCTAACCCTAGGGAAATTTGTTTCAGCTCAGGCATTTGCCCTTTGTCAAGTTGACCTATTTCATTAAAAAAAAAAAAAAAAAAAAGAGGTTGTGGTGGGAAGAGTACTTAGAACATAGCAGGAAGGGGCATGCCTCTGGTGCCCCAATCAAGGTTATGTAGATAAGGCTAGCTTTAGTGAAGCATTTGAATTGTCTCTGGGCCTTTTGCTATTCTTTCTTCTTTCTTAGCACTCCTTTTAGAAACCCACTTCCCTTGTGGTACTTTCTTGTTGCTTCACTGCCCCACTCTATCCTGCCTCCCTTTCAGGGTTGTGTGATGCTAATACTTGGCTCCACTATCCCACTCTATCCAAATCAAAACTTGTCTATGGCAGCAGGAATCCTTTTCTCAGCTTTCTGTCCTGTCATAGAACAATTCGGTAAACTCATTCGAGCTAAGCTTTTAGAGTCACGTAGTTTAATGTATTACAGTTGTCCTGTAGTAGCATATATGCTTTTAGATAGAGACTTTTCTAGAAATGCAGTCTTCAGTTGTTGTAATACGTTTTCAATCATGGGAATTTCAGGCATCCAGTCATACTGGAAGATATGGAGGAAAAGTTTGGAGCCCATGAATATTTTCCATTTATTTTCTTTAGAATTCATAACATTAAAATAACTTTTTCCAGCTCCAAAGTGGTATTTGACCTGTGCTGAGGTATATATATATATATATATATATATATATATTCTTTTTTTTTTTTTTTTCCCATGAGCACAGAACATCAGCAATAAAGACTAACTTTGTGGTCAAAAAAATTAGAGAGTATTAGGATCTGGAATTGACTTCTTGGCCATTCTTTGCGTGTGTACACATGTTCAGTCATGTCCAGCTCTTTGTGACCCCACGGAGTGTAGTCCGACAGGCTCCTCTTTCCATGGGATTTCCCAGGCATTGGCTTGGGTTGCCATTTCCTCCTCCAGCGGATCTTTCTAACCTAGGGATTGAACCCATGTTTCCTGCCTCTCCCGCACTGGCAAGTGGATCCTTTACCACTGAGCTACCTGGGAAGCCCCTGGCCATACTTTGACCCTGTGCCAAATAAATTTTGGGGGTAGGAGAAGTCTCAGGTGGTATCTGTAAAGCCTTACAAGAGCTTGAGCTCACAACAAGATTTGAAACTACCCTTGTCAGTTTGTTGGAGTGGGTGTTGTTTACTTTTGTTTGTTTTGTTTCAATTAAGGAACTTGTGGGAATAGTTTTCTAAGTATCAGATACATTTACAGATGTCTTTAGATACTGTAGAAATATGCACTTGATAATCTTACAGCAGTAGACCTCTGCCCAGCCCTTCTCTGGATAAGCAGTGCTCTGTCATGTGTGGTGTGGAAATGTGTGCTTAATTTAATAATTTCCACACTTGTCAAAACACTGCTATGGAAAAGAATTGCCTCTGTTTTGGTAAAGCTTCCATTAAAATGACAGCTTTTAAATATCCGTAAAGATGAAATTGGGGCTCCCGTGGTGGCTCAGATGGTAAAGAATCTGCCTACAAATGTGAGAGACTGGGGTTTGATCCCTGGGTTGGGAAGATCCCCTGGAGAAGGGAATGGCTGCCCTCTCCAATATTCTTGAAATTCTGGAGAATTTCATGGACAGAGGAGCCTGACAGGCTATAGTCCATGGGTTCGCAAAGAGTTGGATACAACTGAGTGACTAACACACAAACATAAAAAGAGGATATTGCCTCAGGTGTAAAAATATGCTTTTCAAAAATATACCAAATTTTTCTATTTTTGGTATCCAGTTCATTTCTCCTGGGAGAGAGTGATAACCTAGTCAGTTAGTTGGAAGACACAGAACAGAAAGTCCTTAATATAACGGGGGGGTTGTCTTTAAGTCTGTTTATAAACCATTTTTTCTTTTTTATTAAAAATGTATTTTTATTCCATATCCTGATTATGGTGGTGGTTACATGAATCAATATATGTTGTAAAGCTCAATTTTTTCCTGTTTGATAATTTAAAAGTAAAATGTTGGGATAAAGGAATGTACTTTTCATTTGAAACCGTGGTAAAATGGTGTTAAATTTCCAGAATAACCATTGATAAAGCTTAGTTAATGTGACATTTATCTGATCAATAGAATTATGCAGACTAGCCATTTCTGAGGAAATAGCATTTCAAATCACAGATCAGAACTTGAGGAACGTATTTCTCCCTGTATAGTCAGCAGTTCTGGTGGTAGTAGTGCTAAATGCAGTTATGGTGATGGTGGTGCTTGAGGTAGGGGCTCTGGTTGAGAGTTGGAAGAGGATTGACTGAGAGTAATTGTTCAAGAACCTGACCTTAGCAGGGCAATGGTGTTGATATGCCTAACATTTTGCACAGAGCTGATGCTCAACTAGTGACTTGATGTTAGAGTCTAGCTTTGTCCTAGCTTCTTCCTAGGTTGAAATCCTGGCTCTACTTATGAGCTGTGCCACCTTGTATAA